TAACACACTAATTAACGTAGTTTACGTTATGTTTGCGTTTTAAGGTCATGTTATGTGCTTACCGGTTGTTAACTAACGTACCGGATCCACGGCTGTAGTTGGTGTAGAAACGACAACTGTAAAATCAGCTGATTTAGCGAGCGGGAATGTTCCGCTCTAGAGCGGCAATGAGCTATTTTGCGTACTGTTTAAAGGTATAACAATGTTACCTTTTCCATACTGTGGTAGGAAAAATACATTGTCACATCGCTGTATTAGATTCGTCTCGCTACCGACTGAGTCACTCACCTTAACTTTTATGATATTTTGATACCAATTTTGTAGGTACATCTATAGGCTAAGCGATATGTTTTTTGCACAAGTGTTTTTAGAATGCGTCATTTAATCTCAAACTGGCTTACATTTATTCCTCTTTCAATCGCTTTGCCCACAAACCAGCTTTCGCTCCGATCGCGAGTCATCATTCATCAGACAGTGGCCACCGCCTCTTATCAATGCAAGGTCACGACTCTTCTTATCAGTTTGGCACAGACCTAATCACTCATCTTCCTTGACGTATAATAAACTGATAAGCTTTATACAATGTGGATTAATTAATCAATTCCATTGTGCTCTTAAAATCTACATTTTGTATATTGAAATTCTGACGACATCAATCCTTTATTTGGTAAAAGATGAAGGTAATAAGGTAATTGAAAAAGTGTATGATTAATTTGTGTTTGTGCGTATTTCTGGTAAATAAATAATTAAGAGAGGGTATTTTCAAATCTGTTGGTTTTGCCAAGTACTCAGCGATCGCCGTACAATAAGCTCCCCTTGAACGTTTCAACGACTCGGGAAAAAGCATCGGAAATGGACTCTAAAGGGACCAAGTGCGGCTCTACGGCTCATTGGCTAAAAAGCCCATTCTACTTAAAGATTTCACAGGCTTCTCTTTAGAGGGAAATGGAAAAATACCTTTGATGGGTGAAAAAGGTTTGATTAAACAACGTTTTCAGTAAACGAGAAGAATTTTGTCAATACCACATGTGTTGTACCATTTTTATGATTTCAAGATGCTTTGGGTTATTATTCATGCAACGAGTAGAGTCTATAATATTTTAATTTTTACTAAATAATCTATAGTAACTTTTTGTTTAGAGATGTCTCAAATTAAGTCTTCGTGTCTTCTCTCCTGAAAGACCTTTTTCGTTTGATTTGGTTCCTGGAGATTATTTTTGAAATCAAACCAGCTAGAAATGTCGATTAATAATTTCATATTTTGACAGTAAAGGATTTAAATGGAAAATAATTTTTAGTTGTAATTTCAATACTATCCCAGTTACATTTAATCAAAAGTACTTTCAAACAAAGGCGAAACAATAACAACGGCCAGATGAGAAGTTAAGTAGATTAAGAAACCGCCGACTCTTGGAGCCGATTACGAGTTAAAGAGGATCTCGCTCTCTAAATATTTGCCTAAGGAAATCACTGAAAGAAAATTTTAAAATTATTTTAAGCTGGACATCACGTTTATTATAAAATAAAAATTCTGCTCAATCCTTGAGAAAAGTTTCCTAATGAAATTTGTCTCAAAATCTCCCAAGATTTGTTGCAGGGAAAGTGTTTACAAACTAACAACAATAACGAAGACACACATAAATAGATTACATGTATTTAATAAATTACAATATGCCATCATTCCCAACCATTTAGAGTCAAAGAATCGAAGCAAGTACTGTTCTGGTGCTTGAATACTGAGGATAAATTAAATTTTAAAATGGGTTAACAACATACAATTTTATTGATCCTCCTGTCTCAAACAATGTATATTTATCTAGAATTGTATCCAAAAAAGTTATATTGCATTTGAGTAGTTGGTGAAGTTTGCAATGACGATTCTGCGTTCGTATTATAGTATCTTACAGAGAATATGTTTTAAATAGTGAATCAAATAACAAAATTAAAAAAAAAATGCTTTTACAGTACAATAAATGTACCAATAACAAAAAAAATAAAAATATTGTACACGTTGCTGTGAAAAAATTTATTTGTAATGATTTCACTTTTACTTTTTGTATAGAATTAAATGACCGTTTGTATTACATTCATTATGTTTTATAAGTTTTTTTATGTAAATTCTAATTGTTCTTAATTAATTTATATATTTATGGGAAATCTGTTCACAGCAAAGATGTACTAAAAATATATAAATTTCTACCATACTACTTTGCAAACTGGTACTATACCATTTACCGTTGATAATAGGTCACCTATTCCTGTCTTTTTAGTTCAATTTTAATTTTATTATCGCCGAACTGCTTTTGCCACTACTTACCTTTCACATTTATAAACAACAATTTAAAAATTAACAAATAACACTAGTGACAGGTTAGACAACGATCTAAAGTATTAACCAAATCGAAGCCAGCATAAGAGAAAATTCCCGAAAATAAGATGTCTTTGAGAAACCAGAAAATACTAACTGCAAATTACTGATTGTAATAGTTAGTAGTAAATCAGTATTGAAAAAATAACCAAAACCCAGAAAGAAAGATCGATAAAGGTAAAGGGGTTTTTAAACTCTTGGGCATACAGTAGTTCTTTATAGAGTGTGCAACGAACGTTTCAATTTTACAGTATTTCATTCTTGCAATGCGTTTGAATTGTTACTCACATTTAAAACATACAAAAATAAACATATCAATGTATCTGAATACACTGAAAAACTGTAGAGACACTTGTAGTGCTACTTGGTCCGTGACTTAACAATAAAGAGGAAACAGCCATTATGTCTGACAGCCATTAATCCATTCACAAACGGCCTTTCATGACTGTTTAACGGGCTAAGACATCAAAATGTCCATTTATTGAGGCCTAAGTGGGTTTCATATCCTACTGACTACAATGGGCATTTCAACAATCGACTTCTTTCCATTGTTGTAGCCATAGTTTACATAAGTTTTCGTCTTCATTCCCTCTAGATACGTTAAGTTACATAAGGCTAATGTTATCTTTGTTAACATGTTACTAAAATTTAAAAAAAAAATATGAGCAATACAAAGTGTTTAAGTTATGCTATGCTATCTTGATCCAACTATTTGTATCGTATGGTTTGGGAAAGTCAAAGGGTTGTCGTAGTTTGGAGATATTGGAAAATTGTCGATTTTTATTTAATTTATTGTATATGACTCCAGTACTTTACTTTTTTAAACATACATATTTTTTTACTTGACATATTGTATGTAATCCTTATGAAATCATCCAACTTATACTTTAGTTAAAACTACTTAGTCATGTTCAAGGATTAATACATTTATAACCTATTATATTCTAACATGTCACATTTTAATTCTAAAATTCTCGATTTTTGACTCAACTAGCTTATTAACTCAAAATCTTTAGCTCTACGATAATTTTACATTAATACTAAGCCTTTGTTTGGTTCCAAAGTAGTATTCACACACGCTTAAATTCACACACAGTTATATTCAATAAAAATAAATCTCAGAGAAAATGTCCCACGGCATTGCCCGTGCCAATGAACTCACGGGTTTATTTGTTACCGAAACGAATTTTAAATTGGTCACCAAGTGCGGGCAGGAGAATGGCTACATTCCTTGATGTTTTTGCTACTGGTCATTCTGTTGTATTTCGGACTGTCCGCTACCCTGCTTGGCCACTGGAAATTTTTGATTGTCATAATATGGATTTGTTTAAAGTATTATAGGGACGAGTTTGTGGTGTTTTAAAATCAGTTCTAGGTGAGGGTTGGAAACGTTTTGCTAAATGATTTTGTGTTAAACTTACCTTGTATCAAGTAGAGAAACATGTCTAGAAACGATATGATAGTTATAAAGGAAATCGAAGAATTAAACTTACATTTTTTTATCCTCTAAAAATTTGACTTGATAACATATTTACAAGCAAAATGTCCCCTATTTCACACTCTTACTCAAAGATCTCCTATTCCCAATATTATTTTATAAGGGAGTCTGTTTAATTTATAAGAAAATATACTGACACTGGAAAAAGCCTATTCCATTCTTTAAAGAAAACTTTTACAAAAATTTGCACATCGATTCGGCTTTACATTTAACAAAAATATGAGAAGTCCATTGGAAATGTTCAAAATCAATAGATAAATCTATGTTTAAATTGTCAACACACTTAATTGTCCAAAAATAAATTACAAAATAGGAATTTTTCCTCAATACTAATAATAATTTTAAAATTACGTTTTCAAATTTTTACTATGTAAATATAAGTAAATTTTCAACGTGGTACAAATTGCAGTTTTGACACAAGTTATTGTATACACAAAGTGCTTCGGGGGTTCAAGCAACCCCTGTGGCGATCTCACCAAATATTTGGTAAACCGAAACTTTTTGCCCTTTATTCCCTTTGAGCGCCACCCGCGGTACGCCCCGAGTGTTCCTTTATACTTCCCTTCCCATGTGGCCATTGTTAAATATTGTATTTGGAAGCATATCTTTCTCCATCTGTTTTGAAGGGTCGGTAAATAAATACGGAAGTCGAGAATATATCAACCTTTAATCGATTTCTTATAGAGTACTGTTAAACGTGTACGTACTTTTGTATTTAAAATAAAGTTCTTGTTCAATAGTAATAAGGAATAGACCACAAAATTTAAAAGTTAACCGTTTGTAAGCACCTTAGAAAACATGCCTATTATCACAATTTGTATAGTACCTGTATAACTTGTTTCTATTACCAATGATCTCAATAAAATATGAAAACCAAATGTTTGTTTTATAAAACACATAATTATTATATCAATGTCAATAATTTTAAACCAGTTTAACAAAATGTGTCATGTGAAAGGTAGTTAGACAACTTTAACACGACAAATAAATGTAAACCTTACAATCTTTGACCTTATTGCCCTGAGACCCACGCAATTTATGCTTTCAAAGTAATTCCTCAGACCTTTAAAATCTAAGGGTGTACCTGATTGCTTATAAATAATGGATATGAATTATAAAAAAATATTTTTTCAGGTCTGACATTTTGGTGGTCAGCAACGTCATTCAGAGCAAAAGCTTATGCAACATCATAATGGTAAGTTTTCCTTCATTTTTATCACAGAAAGGTCAATGCTTTTCACTTTTCAATTATTGTTTACCCTAGGAAGAAAAAAGAAAATATAACTTTTTGATTATTACTTTCTATCCATTGGTGTATAACATTTATTCCAATGCATTTGGAATTCCAAATTGAATTTTAAGTGATGTTTTAAGTAATTTTAGCCTGATCCCACAATGTTAGTGGCTAATTCTAATACAATTTGTTTGTGAAATATTGTCTACATCAAGTCCTTTAGAACTGTTTACTTCAGTATCTACAGTCAATGGTTTATTTATTCCAAAAAGCATTGTTGAGAGTTAAACAGCATTTTCCTCCACGTGTCTGCAGCTTGCTGATAGTCTTGTTTCTAAGAACTAGTCTAACACCAGAGTTGAATGGTTCGTCAGCAGACAAGAATGTGCTGATACAACGTCAGTACTCCCCTCCCTACAGTAAACATTCCCTAGTCTCTCCCTCCTCCACGTGTCTGCAGCTTGATGATAGTCTTGTTTCTTAGCACTAGTGTAACACCAGCGTTGAATGTTTCGTCAGCAGACAAGAATTTTCTGATACAACGTCAGTACTCCCCTCCCTACAGTAAACATTACCTAGTCTCTCCCTCCTTTTACATTTCTGCAGCTTGATGATAGTCTTGTTTCTTAGCACTAGTGTAACACCAGCGTTGAATGTTTCGTCAGCAGACAAGAATGTGCTGATACAACGTCAGCTTTCCCCTCCCTACAGTAAACATTACCTAGTCTCTCCCTCCTTTTACGTTTCTGCAGCTTGCTGATAGTCTTGTATCTTAGCACTAGTGTAACACCAGCGTTGAATGTTTCGTCAGCAGACAAGAATTTCCTGATACAACGTCAGTACTCCCCTCCCTACAGTAAACATTACCTAGTCTCTCCCTCCTCCACGTGTCTGCAGCTTGCTGATAGTCTTGTATCTTAGCACTAGTGTAACACCAGCTTTGAATGTTTCGTCAGCAGACAAGAATGTGCTGATACAACGTCAGCTTTCCCCTCCCTACAGTAAACATTACCTAGTCTCTCCCTCCTTTTACATTTCTGCAGCTTGATGATAGTCTTGTATCTTAGCACTAGTGTAACACCAGCGTTGAATGTTTCGTCAGCAGACAAGAATGTGCTGATACAACGTCAGTACTCCCCTCCCTACAGTAAACATTACCTAGTCTCTCCCTCCTTTTACATTTCTGCAGCTTGATGATAGTCTTGTATCTTAGCACTAGTGTAACACCAGCGTTGAATGTTTCGTCAGCAGACAAGAATGTGCTGATACAACGTCAGTACTCCCCTCCCTACAGTAAACATTACCTAGTCTCTCCCTCCTTTTACGTTTCTGCAGCTTGCTGATAGTCTTGTTTCTAAGAACTAGTCTAACACCAGAGTTGAATGGTTCGTCAGCAGACAAGAATGTGCTGATACAACGTCAGTACTCCCCTCCCTACAGTAAACATTCCCTAGTCTCTCCCTCCTCCACGTGTCTGCAGCTTGATGATAGTCTTGTTTCTTAGCACTAGTGTAACACCAGCGTTGAATGTTTCGTCAGCAGACAAGAATTTTCTGATACAACGTCAGTACTCCCCTCCCTACAGTAAACATTACCTAGTCTCTCCCTCCTTTTACATTTCTGCAGCTTGATGATAGTCTTGTTTCTTAGCACTAGTGTAACACCAGCGTTGAATGTTTCGTCAGCAGACAAGAATGTGCTGATACAACGTCAGCTTTCCCCTCCCTACAGTAAACATTACCTAGTCTCTCCCTCCTTTTACGTTTCTGCAGCTTGCTGATAGTCTTGTATCTTAGCACTAGTGTAACACCAGCGTTGAATGTTTCGTCAGCAGACAAGAATTTCCTGATACAACGTCAGTACTCCCCTCCCTACAGTAAACATTACCTAGTCTCTCCCTCCTCCACGTGTCTGCAGCTTGCTGATAGTCTTGTATCTTAGCACTAGTGTAACACCAGCTTTGAATGTTTCGTCAGCAGACAAGAATGTGCTGATACAACGTCAGCTTTCCCCTCCCTACAGTAAACATTACCTAGTCTCTCCCTCCTTTTACATTTCTGCAGCTTGATGATAGTCTTGTATCTTAGCACTAGTGTAACACCAGCGTTGAATGTTTCGTCAGCAGACAAGAATGTGCTGATACAACGTCAGTACTCCCCTCCCTACAGTAAACATTACCTAGTCTCTCCCTCCTTTTACATTTCTGCAGCTTGATGATAGTCTTGTATCTTAGCACTAGTGTAACACCAGCGTTGAATGTTTCGTCAGCAGACAAGAATGTGCTGATACAACGTCAGTACTCCCCTCCCTACAGTAAACATTACCTAGTCTCTCCCTCCTTTTACGTTTCTGCAGCTTGCTGATAGTCTTGTATCTTAGCACTAGTGTAACACCAGCGTTGAATGTTTCGTCAGCAGACAAGAATTTCCTGATACAACGTCAGTACTCCCCTCCCTACAGTAAACATTACCTAGTCTCTCCCTCCTCCACGTGTCTGCAGCTTGCTGATAGTCTTGTATCTTAGCACTAGTGTAACACCAGCTTTGAATGTTTCGTCAGCAGACAAGAATGTGCTGATACAACGTCAGCTTTCCCCTCCCTACAGTAAACATTACCTAGTCTCTCCCTCCTTTTACGTTTCTGCAGCTTGCTGATAGTCTTGTATCTTAGCACTAGTTTAACACCAGCGTTGAATGTTTCGTCAGCAGACAAGGATGTCCTGATACAACGTCAGCTTTCCCCTCCCTACAGTAAACATTACCTAGTCTCTCCCTCCTCCACGTGTCTGCAGCTTGATGATAGTCTTGTTTCTTAGCACTAGTGTAACACCAGCGTTGAATGTTTCGTCAGCAGACAAGAATTTGCTGATACAACGTCAGTACTCCCCTCCCTACAGTAAACATTACCTAGTCTCTTCCTCCTCCACGTGTCTGCAGCTTGCTGATAGTCTTGTATCTTAGCACTAGTGTAACACCAGAGTTGAATGGTTCGTCAGCAGACAAGAATGTCCTGATACAACGTCAGTACTCCCTACAGTAAACATTCCCTAGTCTCTCCCTCCTCCACGTGTCTGCAGCTTGCTGATAGTCTTGTATCTTAGCACTAGTGTAACACCAGAGTTGAATGGTTCGTCAGCAGACATGAATGTCCTGATACAACGTCAGTACTCCCCTCCCTACAGTAAACATTACCTAGTCTCTCCCTCCTCCACGTGTCTGCAGCTTGCTGATAGTCTTGTTTCTTAGCACTAGTGTAACACCAGACACCAGAGTGTTGAATGTTTCGTCAGCAGACAAGAATGTGCTGATACAACGTCAGCACTCCCCTCCTACAACAATGCTTAGCTGTGATGTAATGTCTGCTGTCGTATGTTGCTTTTAGAGTATGTTTTATCTATGGTAAATGCATTGACATTGAATAATTGAAGTAGACCTCGCGTGCTGTATGTTTATTTTTGAACCGGATGTTATGTGTGGTTTTTTTTAAATTTTTAAGATTTCTACTAATTTGTTCTATTTTTGGCATATTTCATGATTTGGGCTTTGTAAAATCAAACGACACTCTATTATCGTTAGGTCGTTGTATGCAATTAAACTGTATTAATATAAGTTGTATCGTAAGAAGAAACAAATAATTAACAAAAAGCTCTATTTATAATATTTGTCTTCAACTGATTCATATAAATGATAAATCCATGAGGTGCATTTAATCTATTGTGTATGATACAACTTAACAAATTGTTCACGTATTGATTCTTGCATACTATGATACTGTACATGTAATGACTCAATTATCAATTTTCAATCATTGAGATGGGGACGCCACCTAGGTGCGTATGAGTAACTAAACTACCACTACCATTAAACTGATCTAAACTAAACTACCACAATGTCTTCAACGATTACATACCTCATAAATGAATTGATATGCTAAAACGTAAATTTTATAACAACTAATACAACTAGACATGAGCCACACATCAATACAGGCTTAACATCTAATATAAGTCTACTTTTGTCCAAAAGCTATGTTTACAACCAAACCCTTAGGTTGATAGGTAGCTTTAGGTAGCCTTACAAAACCCGAGTCAATCTATTCCCGTTTGGGAAGAAAGAAGAACGCCACTTCGGCTATTTAAAACTAATTGAACCAGTCATTGAGAGTGGGTTATCCTCCTTCGATCTATTCTCGCCTTCTTCTTCACCCTTCTCCAATCATCCTCTTCTATTCACCATCTGCTTGGAGTGTCAGGTCTATGGTAATGATGGGTGCTCCTGAATTGAATTTGTTTTGTGACCAGGTAGCTCATGCGTTAGTATTTAATATATTCTCGTCTTTATTTGAACTAGAGAGTCTATGTTTGTAAAAGAGAGGTTCCCTCTGTATAAAATGTGTGATGTATTTATTTTAACGACATTAATTGTAGTTATTTTTATTTGAAGTTGAAGTTGATTAGAAGTATCGTCGTACCTGAATGAATTCATTGATTTCGTATCAAATACGGCATATATTCATTTTAATCATTGATAAAAATTAAGTGAACTTTATAGTTACATTTAGACTATTAGTACTATATTTTCTTATCAACATTATTTAAGTATACAAATAAAAGCAATAGAGTTGTAGCCAACCTATATAACAACGTGAGCATTTTAAATTCAATGTAATGTTCATTGTGCAGTAACGCGCACTACAAGCTAAAAACACAGCAAAACTAGCACAGCTGATTTCAATAATAGAAATAATTTGTAAAATCACTAACGCGCATTAGAGGTAAATGGAAAACTAATTGAGAGCAAGGGAAAATCAGCTGATCGTTTTCCCTAGCTCTAAATTAGACTTGGGAAACAATTAATTACTTTCTTTGTATCAGTTATTATCGAAAATAGCTCCTTTTTGTACTGATTGATGACAAATATTACCCTAACAAACATACCTCTCTAACAGCAATTCCAAGTAAG